GGCTAACTCTCTGCAGCCCAGAGCCCCTTAACTCACCCTTCCTCCGGACGCCCTGGCCTTAGAAGACCGAGAAGGCCAAGGTTCCGAGGCTGGGTGACAGCAGTGACAAATGCTGCCTTGAAGCTGTAAATTTGCGCTGAGAGCCCGGAGGCCTGTGTGGGCTGACCAAGAGGGAGCGTGCCACAGCCCAGGCTTCTTTCCAGCCCCTTCTCCCTCTGGGGGACCAGGGGTTTGATGAGAGTGGACGACGGCTCTCGCAGAGGGCTGCGTCGTCGGCAGGACTTGCTGTCCAGTGGTCGTTCCCGTCTCCAGAGCCCTTCTCAAGCAGCTGTCTTCGCTCTCTTCCCTCCGCACGTTTCTCGGTGTCGCCCTGTTGACCCGCGCTGGCTCACCCTCTCCCCTGCCTCAGCCCCCACTTTGCGTGTGCGCGTGCACACGCACACACACACACACGCACACACATCTGTCCCCCTCCCTGGAGTCCCTGTGGTTTTACAGTGCTGATACTAATCAGATTAGGGCTGACTTATTGTCAGAGTAGCTTTTCGTGTTCCCCAGAGACGGCTGGGAGTCACCATCAAGATTGGGATCTTGGCGATAAGCCCCTGGGCTGCCTTGTCCCCCTGGCAGCCCGTGGAATACCAATGAAGGGCCGTTTGCCAGCCTAGCCCAGCTGGTCAGTTACCTGCTGTCAGAAGCTCACCTGAGGACCGCAGGGCCCAGGGTTCCCAGCCGCTCTGGGAAGTGCCCAGGTGCTCAGGCCTCGTCCCTGTGGCAGCCCGTGGTCAGGGGCCAGCACAGGAGCCCGTGGCCTAGACAGAGACCTTTGGGACCCGGCCCCACTGAGCGCCCATCCTCTCTCCCTGCCCCTCACCTCGCCAGCTGCCCCAGATCCGTTTGTGTCTTGGCAGAATGTTTTCCTTCCTCGGCCCCCTGCCCGCCCCACCCGCTCCCCTGCCCGGCACTGGGGCTCTCGGGGGGATTTCTCACTCTTCCACTTGAACTTGTTCCTCCTCATAGTACTTCCCCGGCCAGCCCTCAGTCCAAAACTTCCTGCACTCCATGAACGACTGGCTCAGGAGGCAGCAGAGGAAGAAAATCCCCTACGGTTTCTTTCAAACCGCCCTGGAAAACAGGAAGGAGGTGAGTCCGGGGAGCGACTGGAGACCTCCCGTCTCGGGGGACGGCCGGAGTGGGGGGTTAACACTGACCTCTGACCTTCACCAGTTTGCGTGGAGGAAGGAGTCAGCGATCTTGATTGGGTCCTCCCGCTAATAATGAATAACTTGCTGTTTCTGAGCTCGCCACGTGCATATCTCATTTCATGCCCCCCACGTTAGCGGGAGGTACATATTATCCTCATTGAGCAGGTGAGAAAACAAGCAACTCACCTAAGCCAGCGAGTGGTTGGGCTGGAGTTTAAAACCGACCGTGAGGCACCGGCTGTGAGAGTCTTTACTGCTCTCTGTCGCCTCCAAGCACGTGATGCTGCTCAGCGTGGCCTCTCTGGCCCGCTCCAGGGCGCCTTTCCCGACTCCGGTCTCACCGCTGTCTGCAGAGGTGCGCGCTGCAGCCAGCTGCACGAAGCCGCACAGGCACGAGTGTCAGCGCTGGAAGGCACCTCTGAGATCGGCCCCCTCGTTTTACAGATGTGGAAGTTGAGGCTAGAAGGACAGATCCGATGCTCTTAGGTGGGGGTGGCCCGAGGAAGGTGATGGCCTGGGAGAGGACCTCATTTGTCTTACCCAGGGCTGTGTGCGGACCTCTGAGCTTCTGGAAGCGTCTCACCTCACCTCACATTCTTTTTCTTCCCCCGAACGCACTCATGTTCATCTGTGTCCCTTAGGGTTCCGTGATTGCCAAGAAGGTGAACTGGGTTGGCTGCCAGGGGAGTGAGCCACATTTTCGGGGCTTTCCCTGCTCCCTGTGGGTCCTGTTCCACTTCCTGACCGTGGAGGCAGCTCGGAAAAATGTTGACCACTCGCAAGAAAAAGGTGAGTCTGGAGCTGTGCGGCCCGGGGCTCACTCAGCCAGCCCTGTCTTGCCCTCGCTGCCTTCCTGCTGCAGGCCCGTCTTGAGGGGACTCTGTGTTAGCAGCTGGTCACGCACGACCAGCATTCTCCAGAAAGGGAGGACCTGGAGAAGCCACCCAGTCCTGCACCCCACCCCAGGGTGGTGCCCCACAAACTGGGGGGCACGAGTCTTCTCCCTGGCTTTTTCAGAGCCACGGTCTTCATGAAAAATGGGTGGTTCCATTTTTTTATATTTCTATAAAGAACAGAACTGTGTCTGTTTCACAGTTTACATGGCTGCTACGTGTACTTTGAACAATTTTATCGTTTCCCACTGAGAAATCATTTTCTAGAGGAAGCTGTGGAACCACCTTGCACCTCCCGCCCTGTCCCCTCCCCAGACTGTGCAGCTGCTTCACGACCCGCACTGTCTCCGCCTCCGCCTAATGCCCCAAAGGCTGGTCCTCCGGTTCGACTCACGTTTGCTGAGGGACCAGAGTTTTGTCGGGCCCTGGCTCAGCCTGGGGGATGCGAAGGTGGAGAAGACACAGTCCCCGCCCTTAGCGGACTGTGAGACAGGTGGCCAGAGCTGCCCTTCGCTGGGTGGGGGGAACAAGGCCGTGCGGGGAGAGAAAGGAAAGCTCCACGCTGTCTGTCGGGAAGGGCTCGAGGAGGTGAGTCGCGTGGACCTAAAAATAAAAGGCCACGGTGGGAGGCAGCGCGCATTCACTTGAGGTTTTTAAAAAAAAGAGGACAGCTATTTGGGAAGTGCCGATTGAGGCAGAAACCCAAATAACGTTTTGATTAGGAGACGAAGGCAAGGGGTGTTTATGGGGCGGAGGGGAGCAGGTCCATGGAGAGAAGGAGGCATTTCTGTCGGTGTGGACAGGCGCTCAGAGTGATGCTGATTTTCATTCTGGTGGCCATCGGTCCAGTAGTCATAATCTTTGCTTTTTTTGTCATCTTTGCAAGCAGTTCTTTGGGAGGTAATGCTGCTTGAGGCCCAGTCCAAAGGTTATTTTGCCCTATTTTTTTATTCCAGAGTTGTGTGCAGGACAGTTCGTCTGGGGTGGCAGCTCTGACTCCATTTTCAAGTGGGTCCATTTGTTATATTAGTATTAGTGTTAGTATTTATTAGTATTATTTGCAGCTGAGAGTCTGTGGAAGAACAGGAGTTGAGCTGGGAAGGAAGAGCACCCCACCCCCCACAGAGGGCAGGCCCGCAGAGGCAGAGGGCATTAGGAGAGCCACCGGGTGTCACTATGTCAGCCAGTATTTATGAGGCGTCTCCCGAATGCCAGGCCCTGCTCTAGGGGTGGGGTACCGTGGTACGAGATGAAAAGTCCCCGCCTCAAGGGGACAGTAAACACACAAGTAGATCGTTTCAGTTATGATGACGAATGCTGTGAGGAAGACAGAATTAAGTGGGTGTGCGGGAGCCTAGGGAGGGGGCTGTGCTCTGGCGAGGGGCTGGGGGAGGCTTCTCCGAGGAGATGGCCCTGAGCGGAGAGGGGAAGCAGCTATGGCACATCTGGGCCTTCCAGGCTGAAATGGTTTCCCAGAGCTGCCCTAACCAGTGCTGTGCTCCAGGTGGCTTAACGAAAAATGTTTTCTCCCAGTTCTGGAGGCCATAAGCCCAGGATGAGGGTGTCGTCAGGGCTGGTGTCTGCTGAGGCCTCTCCTTGGCTTGTAGATGACCATCTTCGTCTTCGCTGTGTCCAAATTCCCTTCTCTTCCAGGGACACCAGCCAGATTGGATTAGGACGTGCCTTAATGACCTCATTTTAACTGAATCGTCTCTTTAAAGACCCTGTGTTTAAATACAGCCACATTCTGAGGTCCTGGGGGTTAGGACTTTGACACACGGATTTTAGAGGACACAGTTCAGCCCATCGCACAGGTCGAGGACTAGCAAGTGCAGAGAGCAGGACTGGCATGTGTGCGGCATGGAAGGGAGGCCAGCAGGGCAGCCAAGCAGGGGCCGTGGGCCTGGACCAGAGCTGGAGGTGCACACATGGGAGAAGTGGGGTGTTTTGAAGGCAGGGCTGACAGGACTCAGTGATGGGTTGGATGAAGAGTATACAGGATCCACGGCCCAGGGCAGACCCCGGAGTGGCTGGGCCTGAGCATCTGGTGGTGATGGTCCTATAAGCCGAGGAAGACTCAGGTGGGAGGGAGTGGATTCAGGGGAAGGTGGACTTAATGGTGTGCGCCCGTTAGACCTCTGAAGGGAGAGGCAGACTGTCGAATCTGGAGCTGTGGGGAGAGGTCCGAGGTAAAGATACACACCTCGTGGCCATCAGCACATAGATGACACGTAACACCTGGAGACTGGATGAGCCCATTAGTGTATGGCCAGAGAGGAGAGCCGAGGCCTGAGCTCTGGGCTCTGCAGCATCCGGACCTCTGCGAAGGGAGCCGGGCCCACAAAGGAAACCGCGATTTCAGGAGAGCTCCCCAGATAGTGTTTCGAGAAGGAGGCTGTGGTCAGCCAAGTGGGTGTCGCGGTGCTGCCGTTGCTGGGGGCCTGTCTGGCAGGAGCCGTGTGTGTGGATTAGTGGCGAGAAAGGCCCGGTTGGATCGAGCTGAAGAGAGAAAAGCAGGGAAGAAACTGGAGATGATGGGAACGTCACCGGGGTGCGACTGGGGTCGGAGACGGGGTTTCACGATTGTCGTCGTTTTTACCAGGTGGAACGATCCCATCCTGAGGGAGAAATTGATGATGTAATAAAGGAAACTATTTACGGGAGGAGGCGAGAAGGGGTGAGGTCCAGAGCACGGGGCAGGCGGAGGAGCAAGGACAGCCGCAGAGCGGGTGGTGGGTGGGCGGGTGACGGGGCTGGATGCAGCAGGTGGAGTTGAGGGGGCCGAGGAGGTGCGAGGTCAGGCACGGGTTGGTGTGGGGCAGAGAGCAGGGTGGCGATGTCCTGGCGGGTGCAGGGGTGAGGCGAGGAGACTGGCTTTTAAAGGGCCAGGTGTTTGCAGCAGAGGCCAGTCCAGGGGGCCCAGTGGGAGGGGATTTGGGGGTGGCGGAAACAGATGAGCGGGCGTGCAGGCCAGAGCAGGGTGGACTCCTGATGCAGAGCCCAACATAGGGCCGTGGGGGTCGGGTGGTGGGCACGCTGCCCCTGCCGTCCTCTCCAGCCACGTTTCAAGGAGCCTGAGTGCCCTGCCGATGAGGTTGGACTTCATCCTGAGTGTCAGTAAGTGACAAGCCTGGATGAGTGGCGGAGAAGGGAAACTGGGCTTTAGGGGTTTGGGAAGAGACGGAGTCAACTGTAAAGTGACCCCTGGAAGGTGGAGAAGTGTGGGGAGACCCGGGCTTCTCATCGGATGGGCTGGGCAATGGAGTCCCTGTGCAGAGGTGACCGGCAGGGGCGGGCAGCCTGAGAGGCCCCCGCGAACGGCCTCTCCTCTCCCCCGTAGCCAAGGCCCAGGAAGTCCTCCAGGCCATCCGGGGCTACGTGCGCTTCTTCTTTGGCTGCCAAGACTGCGCCGGCCACTTCGAGCAGATGGCTGCTGCCTCCATGAACCGGGTGGGGAGCCTCGACGGCGCTGTTCTGTGGCTCTGGTCTAGCCACAACAAGGTCAACGCTCGCCTCGCAGGTAAGAAGGCCACCTCCACGGCCGGAGTCGCCTACAGAGGGAGGACGAGGTGGGGAACTTTGGCTTCTTCTTTGGCTGCCAAGACTGCGCCGGCCACTTCGAGCAGATGGCTGCTGCCTCCATGAACCGGGTGGGGAGCCTCGACGGCGCTGTTCTGTGGCTCTGGTCTAGCCACAACAAGGTCAACGCTCGCCTCGCAGGTAAGAAGGCCACCTCCACGGCCGGAGTCGCCTACAGAGGGAGGACGAGGTGGGGAACAACTTTAGAGTCTTGGACCAGAGGTGGGAGACGGGACACTAGTTGTCCCCCAGGTAATACCCTGTGTGTCACAGTGCACGGAGCCCTTTCGCATGCCCTACCAGCCGTGCTGACGTCTGTCAGTGCCGTTAGACCCGTCTTCCAGATGAAGACACCGAGGCTTGGACACGCTAAGACCTTGGCCTCCTGACGCCCTGGTGCTCTCTCCCCTGCACCAGGGCCCCTCCTTCTGCCTGTGGGGGTCCCTTTCCTGCCTCCCTGGTTCGGCCTCCTGGCTGTTGGCCTCTTACTCAAACCAGTAGGGAGGAGAGAGCTGGCCTTTTCTACCCGCCTGGGGAGGGGTCTAATGATAAAATAGCCAGAAAAGAAAGACCAGGTCCTTCTGGAAGCACCAGGGACGGATCCCGTGGGAGGCGAGGGGCTCCTCGTCTGAGTTTCCCTCATCGGCAGCGTTTCTGTTCCCCCGGGCACCGGAGTCTGATGGGTCCAACTGGCAAAAGCAGGGGTGACTAGAGCTGGCGGGTGGGGAGGAAGCCATCTGTGGATGGGAGCCCGGGCGTGTCCGTGGGGACAGAGGAGACCCCCCAGGGGCGTGAGGTTGGAGATGAGGCCCCGGGCAGGCGAGGTTAAGGGAGCCGAACAGAGCAGGTGGTGGTGCAGGCGGCTGCACTTGGTCCAGGTCTCCTGGGGCCTCTTGGTGGACTTTGAAAAGAAGACACATGCCTGTCCCTCCTCCCACCACTTCCCTTCCCGCCCCACCCCTGCCACCAAATGCTCTAAATGACCCTCCAGCCTGTGACCTCGGCTGGCTCTCAGCTTCCCTCTGAGCCCAGCTGCTGCCGCTGGGCCAGGAGCCATGGCCTCTCTTGGAGGGACTTAAAGGAAAGCAGTACCCTACCCCGTCTGGTGGGGCCCTTTCAAATCAAAGTCATCACAGTCAGGAGCGAGTACAGACCGGTGCTCACTTTGCAAGGCCCGTTCACTCACTTCTCACCAGACCCTTGGAACCTACTTGTCGCCCCCTCCCCAAAATGACCATTCTGGCTTCTGCTTCACTTGCCGCTGCTTCATTCTGGCCAGCAACGTCTTTTCCTATTAAGCCCATTAGGGGAGGTGCCTCCTACAAGACAGACGGACTGATCCGCATTTGCTGGCGGCCCTGGGCGAGCGGCCGGTGCCAGGCCCCATGGGGCCCAGCCCACGGTGCCGCTCTGTTGGGGGGCAGCGTCCCAGCTCTCAGTGTCCTCTCCCCTGTCCAGCCCCCAGGCCTCCCCACCCTTGGCGCCCACCTGGGGAGGAAACTCCACTAACCGCTACCTGCCCCAGAGGCCTGCAGTGGAGCCGCCTGTGGAACAGCCACGCACCGCGCACTCTGTTTCGAAAGGCATTTTCCTTTAGTCACAAACGCAATGTATCTCCTCTGGATAAAACTTGGAAACTTTCAGAAAAGTGAAAAGGAGATAAATACTGGCAGGCGGACCCAGGACTGTGAGATGGATTCTTCTGAGTCTGCTCACCCTTTCCCGTGTCTGGTCCAGGATACAAACCGGCAGCGAAGCTGACAAAGGCAGACGAGGGTTAATGGGGGACAGCTCTGAAAGGGAGCTGTTCGCACTCCCCTGCAAAGTTGGGGTGCTGGCGTGGGGGTCGGGTAGGGCTGCCCCTCACCCAGAGAGGCACCATTGCTGGGCTCGGCCTGGGCCGAGGCCTGAGCTGGTTATTAGTGGGTCTCCCCTCATCCCGTCCCAGGGCAGGGGCGCGCCCTTTCTTCAGACGAGGGAGCTGGCGTTCTGAACGGAAGAAGAATGAGGTCTGGGCTTCTGGCCGTCACAGCCCATCCGTGTGCTTCTCTCCCCAGGTGCCCCCAGCGAGGACCCCCAGTTCCCCAAGGTGCAGTGGCCGCCCCGTGAACTCTGTTCTCCCTGCCACAATGAACTCCGGGGGACGCCTGTGTGGGACCTGGGCAATACCCTCAGGTTCTTCAAGATCCACTTCTCCCAGAACAACGTCGTCCTGGACCTTCCTTTAGCCAGGCCTGGCCCCCGGAGGGGCGCACAGAGGATGGCAGGCTCCCCACAGATGGAGCTGGCGACCGGAAATTCTACCGTGGTCCCTGAGAATGCTGAGATTGTGGTGGGCCGAGGGTCAGAACCCCCTGGGACTTTCACCCTCGATGTTCCAGTGGAGAGACTTGGGGCAGGTGGCCCTCAGGAGACGCAGGCTGGCCTCGGTGTGACCGGAGCCGGGTCAGACCAGGGCCCTTCCGAGCACTTAGTGGAGCTTCAGAGGGATCAGTTGGAGCAGCCAGAAGGGCAGCGACCTTTAGCCAAGCGAGACACAGGAGCCATATTGCTGGCTGAGTTCTCGGCTGTGAAAGACCTCCCCGGAGGCCCTTCCGAGCTGAGACGAGTAGGCCGCAGCTCCAAGCAGCTGGCCAGTGTCCCTGAGAGGGAGCCAGAGGCCGGGGCCATGCGAAGCCGAGGCCAGTGGCTGCAGGTGCTGGAAGGGGACTTCTCCCACCTGGACATCAGCCTCTGTGTGGTGCTCTACTCCCTGTCCTTCATGGGCCTGCTGGCTGTGTACACCTGCATCCGGGCCAGGATGAGGACCCTGAAGGGCCACGCTAGCCACCCCGCAGCCTGAACCATCCGACTTGGGAGGGCAGCAGGAGTGGGAGCTGCTACCCAAGAGGCTCCTCCAGCCCTCTGCCCGCTTCCTCTCCCCTTCCTCCTTGCCTAGGGAAATCCAGGAAGACCAGTTGGGCCTCCTGGGAATGAGTGCTCCACAGATGCAGAGACAGGCACAGGGTGGAGGTTCCTCTGAAGCAGGGGCAGGGGAGCCCTGGGCAGTGAGGGCGCTGGCTCAGCCCCCAGCCTCTCAGCACCAAATTCCTCTTTTTTTAGCTTATTTGAAGTCCTGCCTCACTTTTGCTGAAGCTTCAATGTCTCCTGCTTGGTCTCGGCCATAAATTGGGGCCAGTGAGCCACAGTGTCCAAGGCTTCTCCTGAGGAGGGTCCCCGGGCTGTGGGCAGGAGAGGGACTCCTCACTGCATTCCAGGGCTCCAACCATCCCGCTCCCTCTGCGTAGGAAGAGGCCTTCTCACCAGAAGGAAGGGTTGCCTCTGGGCCTCCGTGGCCCGCCCACCCTCCAGCCCCTCAGACCTCGTGCTGAGGGTAGGGTCTTCTGGAAGCTTCTGGAAGTCATGCTGGCCTCCCAGGTGAGGTTGATGGGAGGACAGCCTCTGGCTGGTGCCTTCCCAGACCTCTGCTACAGGAAGCTCACAGGCTGGAGTTGATGTGGACGTGCCCGGCTGGGCGGGTGATGGTCACTGGGCTGGGGGTGAGTGGCTGGCTTAGCAGGACTGGATGAGGGGCTCGTGTGGGATTTAGGAGGGATGCTGGGGTCTCTAGTGCCTTGCTCTGGGCTTACCTGTGAGAGGCAGAGTGAAGCCTCGGGAAAAAAAATAGTTGCTTCAAATGCGCTGTGGCTCTTCCTTTTTGGGCTCACCCCTCCTGGAGCTGAGTCTTTGTCTTTTGATTTTAGTCTCCAAAGTAGATGCTAGTCTTTGAAGGTGGAGGGTGCTGGAGTGAGGGGAGCGTCATCTCTCTCGAAGGTCCATCACCTGTTACATAGAGGTGAAAGGGTCAGAGGGTGGGTGACACTGTGCACAAGCTTGATTTTCACTCTGTCACTGCTTGGGAGGGCTGTGGAATAAATTATTTTTGTTTAGGCAAGTACCCGTGTGTCCTTTAACTTGCTACTTGGAGACCTAGTGTTCAGATCTGGACAGAATGTGCAAAGTTCTGCCTCACCTGGGATCCAGGCAGATGTGAGTTCCCCCGGCTCACGTAGCTCCTGGCCTGCAGGGGACAGGTGCCCTGGTCACAGCCCCTGTCTCCCGGATGGGGCGCTCCCCGACTTCTCACTGAGCTGTCTGGCTCCAGGCGTCAGTCTCCACTGCACCAGTGCAGGCCTCTGTGGCGGTACAGCCCCGCCTCCTGCTCCGCACCTGCCGGGCCCTCCTCCACCAGGCGTCCTGCATCTCCAGCTCCCTTGGAAGAAGAGGGCTTGTTTGTGAGCAGCGGCCTCTCCTGCCTGGCTGCTGGACAGGGAGGAGTCAGCCAGATTAGAGGGCCTGCCCCTAATCCGGCCTGCTGGGTTTTACAAGGATCAGAGCAGCTGATAATGAACCTCATTAAGGGGGAGCAGGAGCCTCAATCCGATTTGGGGTTTTCTCTTCGACATCACTCTGTTCAGATGGCCTGGCTCTGCGTGGAGTGGGTGGGGGGCCAAGCATACTCCCTCTGCTAGGGCAGCTGGGGTGGGGGTGGAGGGACAGGCAGGGGTCAACTTGCCCTCCCCTGCTTATGTCAACTATATGTTACCTCTTTAGCTGCCTGGTTCCTATGGTGGGTCCCAGCCTGGAGCCTCTGCAGGCCTCTTGTCTGTCTGAGCATCCCTATCTGCTCATCTGCCCCTGCTCTGCCGGGCGCTGGCTGGGAGGCCGAGGGACTGACCGACCAGCACACTGTTGGCAGTGGCACCCTGGCCCGCAGGAGGGTAAAAGGCTCCCGCTGGGCCAAGACCACTCAAGGACCCCTGCTTCCCCCAACCCGGTTCCTGACATAATGCCAAATGCAGAGGGTTTCTATGTGCCAGCCCTTAGCGCTCCAGTGACCGTATTTACCAAGCTCGGGGGTTCAGAATTAGGGCTGGGCTGGAAGCGGTGGTGGCCAGCCCCAGCTCCACAGAGGCGGGAGGCAGGAGGCAGGGCCTCACTTGAGACCCACTAGGGCCCGGGCAGGGGCGGGGGCTGCGAGGGGAGTCTCCTTCCTCCCAGCAGCCTCGGCATCTTTTCGCCCTGTCCCAGCCCCCTCTGATTGATAAACAAGGGCCGGGCCTCAGCAAGACTGCTGCCTTTCACCTTGATTTCCCCAGGGCGCTCAGCGCCATCGATAAACCTGCTTCGCCCACCAGCTGGTCCCCTCCCCCGCCCGGTCTGCCAGGCGGGGAGCAGGGGCTTCCGTGCCGTGAACGCTGCCTGCCACCTCCGTTCTAGGTTCTCTGCCCCTGGGGAGAGCTGCCACAGAGGCGAGGGCCCTCAGGGGAGCCCCGCAAAGCAAAAACTCCTTGTTCTGGGGCGGGGGAGGGCGGGTGGTACCTACTGAGCGCGGAAGAATGCTTTCCTAGAGGAGGACGCTGAACTGGGGAAAGACGGGCCAGTGTTAGCGATGTAAATAAGGGGGAAAGAGGCCTCAGGCAGAGGAGAAAGCACGTGCGCAGTCCGGCAAAGAAAAATCGAGAATGCAAGAAATTCTAAGCAAAAAAACATTAAAAACTATTTTAAAGGATGTTTTTTTCAATACGGCACTGGGATAGAAGCTTGGGATAAATCAAGAAGAGAGACCTGGTCCCTGCTGTTAAGGAGCTTCCGCTCTAGAGAAAAAGAGAAAAACAGAGATTGTGGTGAGTGTTCTGAAGGACGGAGCAGGTGGGGACTGGGGCAGCCTCTCTGAGACCTAAAGGACAACAAGCCCCGTGTGGGAGGAGTGCGGGGGTCACACGGGCAGGGGTGAAGGGACCACAAGCCAGAGAGGTGGCCCACCTTTGGCCTGGCTGGTCCCCAGTGGCCTTGGCACGGGGTGGGGTGGGGGAGCCCAGGTCTGGCCCATCCTCTGGGTGTGGGGTGAGGAGTGGGCTACAGGAGACCCGCAGAGCCTTGGCACTGGAGGAAAGTCCCTAGCAACCGAAGGAGGAAGATGAGACCTGGTTCATTCCCCTGGCCGCCCACCAACTAGGTGGCTGTAACACACGGGGAAACTTTTCACCTGTTGGCTCTCGATTTCCTCTCTGTAAGAGGAAGGCCTCAGACCGGGCTTCAGGGTGCCTAAGGTGACTTCACCTCGCTTATTGTTATTCCAGCTGCTTTATTGTCAGCTCGGTGAGGGGTCATCCTTGCAGGTCCTTCCAGAAAGGACTCTGACTGAAGGAAATCACAACCTGTGTAATTTCTGTCCTGATGGACCCACTCTGAAAGGGAAGCCTCGCTCAGCCTCTGCTCCGAGGGAAGAGCACCCCACAGGAGGTGCCTCCTGTGCCCCAAGCATGACCTAATTCAGAGGGAAAATAACTCCCCTTCTCATCCCTCCCACTCATACGCTGGGCCTGCACCCTCGGACTGGGCCCCGCTGTGCAGTCCCCTCACCAGGGAGAGGCCCACACACCCGGATCCCAGGTCCTGGAGCCTGGGTGACTGGTCCTCTCAGAGGAGGCGGTCTCTTCTCAGCCTTGCTCTCTGCCCTGGAAGGGATCAGCCCCAGTGAGGGGGAGGGGGGGCGATGGCCTCCAGGAGGGTCACTAGAGGGCACCAGGCTGATGGCCCAGGCTCTCTGCTCACCCTCCCTGGCCCCTTCCCTTCAGCTTTCACCTCTGCTTGGGAGCATGTGTGCAGGTGTAGGTCACAGACATGGCGGAAAGTGTCCAGAAGTCACAAGGCACAGGTGGGGGACCTCTGCCAACACGAGGAGATGAGGCTGAGGGGAACAGTCCATGGGGGCGTTGGCCTTGGGGGATGACTCGAGGAGCATCTGCTTAGATTCTAGGGTGAGATCTACCTGGCAGGGCTGGTGAGTTTCCAGGTGCTTCTTAGGCAAGGCTTGCGCTGTCTCTGTACCGAGAGAGCAAAGGCCTCTCCCTGCCTGGGCTGCGGGCTCTTCCGGAGCGAAGTGGGCCTCGGCGCTGTCCGTTCAGCCTCCTTCTCCCCCCTAGTGATGGCATGACTTGCCTCTCACCAGTGCCTTCCTGGAAGCCTCTGTCACCACCGATTGCAGCTCGTGGCTGGAGAGACCATAACCTTGTCTAGCTTGACTCTATATAGGGTCAGAATTCTGCTTTGAAGAGGGAGGAATTATTTAGCAAATGATGTTGAGAGTGTTGATTATTTATGGAAAATTCAGCTAGGATCTCGCCTTCACACCATATACCCAAACAAATCCCAGTGATATAAAAAGTAAGGCATAGGAAAATATAACTGATAAGCATAAGAACAATTTAAAATATAACTGAGAGTTTCACCTACTTGACAACACCAATTTTTTAAAATAAGTTAAAATCAAATTACGCATTAAAAAACTGGAAAAATATATGCCATAAATATGACAAAGGGATACGACTATTACAAAATACGCAATCTTGAAATAAGATCGGTTTGCAAGTATTGATATAAGATGTCCAAGGATCCTTTTCTATAAACATAAATGTTACTATTTATTACTCTCTATATTTAATAATATAATTTTAAAATGTAATTTAATGTAAATATTTTAAGGTTACATTATTCAATGTGCTATATGAATATATATAAATAATATAATTTATAACATTATTATACAGTGGACCATTGAACAACACTTGGGTTTAGGGATGCCAAACCCTCACACAGTTAAAAATCTGTGTATAACTTTCGACTCCCCCAGAACTTAACTACTACTGTTGACTGGAAACCTCAGTGATAACATAAATAAGTCGATTAACACATATTGTATGTCATATGTATTACATACTTATTTTTACACTAAAGTAAGCTAGATAAAAGAAAATGGCATTAAGAAAATCATATGGAAGAGAAAACACATTTACAGTATTTATTGAAAAAAAAGCCCACAGGTAAGTGGACCCGCGTAGCTGAAACTCATGCTGTTCAAGGGTCAGCTGTACGTACATGTTAATGTTTGTCTAGAAAAAGTCTGGAAGGATAGACACCAAACTATGACCAGTGGTTATATACACAAAGTGAGGTTGGAGTGGACTTGAATCAGGGCTGGAACCAGCGTGAGGCAAGGGAGGTAGGTACAGAGTGCCAAGTTCGAGGAGATGTTTAACCTCAGTCCCACCAGGGCAGGTCAGCAGCTGAAGTGAGCGCCTCATTTAATTCGGTGCCCAGGTGGAATCTCACCTCGTTCTGGCTCTGATTTAAATGCTTAAGTGTGTTTTTGAATTTTTGCAATAAATATTTCTTTTGAAAAGAAAACAATAACAAGGAAAATAAAATAAGATTAAAGGATTTTAAATTTCTATTGTAGATAAGAAAATTACTAAAGCTCTATTGAAATCAATGGGCCAAAGTATTACATGAAAGATGCCATTTTTATTTGTCTTATTGGCAAAAACGATACAAACAAAAAAAAGCATTATCTAGAGTGAGGGGAAATGAAATGTTTGTTATTTACCGCCGCGTTTGAAACAGCAGTTATCTATTTCTCATGAACGTGCACCTTGAGCACACAGCAGTGCGGGCACCTGGCTGTTGTCTACTCCCCCAGCTCCTCTGAGCTTCACGAAGAGAGGGACAGTGTTCCCCTCTCCGCTGCAGCCCAGGACTTACCATGGGGCCTAGCACACCTCAGGATGTCAGGAGATAGTTCTTGAATAAACGGGGGGGGCACATTCTAGGACCTGCATCTCTCCACGCATGCCATTCCCTTTTTAATGCCCCTTTCAGTGCTGCCTACAGTGAGCGCTGTAAACATCAAAGATGCTTAAAGGTGTCAGAAAGAATGAATAACAAATTAGGAAGCAGCTACCGTTGTGGAAAAAGGATATTTTAGGGTCAAGCGCACCTGGGTTCAAATCTCACCGTTGCTCCATGTAACCTTGGCAGGTGCTTCTCGGATCCTGAGCTTCTCAATCCGTAAAGGAGGTAACAAGGTGAAAGGTACGGCCATCAGCGCCCAGCACA